AGTGCGGGGGTATCCCTGCTGCAATGGTTAATCATTTTCCCAGGAGCTCTGCTTTAACATTTTCAAAGAAAAACAACAATTAAATGTATCTTTATTGGCACATAGCAATCTGGAGGCATTCTGCCCACTGATGCTGCAGAGAACTACTCTAAAAACCTTCTTTCCTTTTAATGCGATAGTGCAGATACTGCAGCTTTTTTAATTACCACACTGGCTCGCACCAGGGAGCTAAAATGATGGCAGCCTTCCCCATTCAGAAATTAGTCTTAGATGGTTAGAAAGGTGTCAATCTGCAAAGACGTTTGCTGATATCCTTCTAATGCACATAGTTTACCTGGAGGGAATATTTGTATTCCTTCCACAAAATTAAGGAAGTTCAAGAAAGCAGGATGGAAATACTGAACAACCACAAGTTGAGTTTATATACATATCTGCCAAATCCTGAATGTGTAACATTTTAGTATTTTGTTTGTTGTTTTGATAAGGTACAATTACCAGAACACCCTGCAATTACTGGGATTAGACGAGGCTGAAGATAACAGCAAGGATCCTATAATGATGAAAGGTGCTTACTTATCTCTTCTCTACCTACGTCATCTCAGAGTTCGAGAACTTCAGGTAAAGTCATTTTCTATGGCCTGAATGACACAGCGCGAGAGTTAAGTGATAATGTAAAGATAGTGGGATTCCCAGCATAATAAACTAGGCCAGAAACGCAAAATCACCTGTAGCTGTTCCTCAATGGAATATGTAAATTACCAACCTTACATAAACATTGAAGTTTAACCCTTTGACCGGGCCATCCCTAAATAGGCATCCTGAGGGGGTTGCCTCAGGCGACACCTCCTTGGGTCACGTTGGGGTGCCGCCCCCTTTCCGGGCCAGAGAGCCCCAGGTTGTTAAGAGCTTAACCTAGGACTCTCTGGCCGGCATCCCCCCCACCCCCCAGCTCACTGACCTCACTGGTTGCCAATAGCTGTGCTTCTGGCAACTAGTGACATGAATGAGCTGGGCAGGATGCACTACACCACAAGCCACCCCCCTGGAAGTGCATCATGAGCCTCCCAAATCCCTTTTTTTTTCCATCCGCTACCTCAGGCGGCAAGATGTCTAGGAACACTCCTGCCTTTTGAGCGAGCTCTTATACCAGTATACCCCTCATGGCTCAGAGCAATTTTTACATGTTGGCTTTGAGCCTTTTGATTTGGAATTAATTTTGTCATGACTTTTGATACCCAAGTAGCACAATTTTCATTTTATTTGGGACAGACAAGGCTTTAATATGGCAACAATGTCAATCAAAAGTGATTTTATTTTCCATGCAATCTAAAGACAAAAATAAGTAACAAAAACAATGATTTGTTTATGGTTTGACAAGTGTTATTTTAAAAACAACCAGTGTTTGTTGATAAAAAATTGTTATTCTGTGATTTGTCTTGTTTATAATTAGGGATGCACCGATACTTTTCGAGTACCAATGCCGATACTTGGCATTTTCGTGAGAACTACCAGGGTTGCAGAGGTTGCAGCAGGGACCTGGCTCTGGCGCTCTACCACTGTCCTGAAATCATTAGTCTGTATTGTTTTAGAAAACTGTCACATGATAATAAACAAAAATTTATCAGTACTCGTACTTGTAAGTACTTGGGCAAGTATCAGTACTTGTACTCGCAAAACTGGTATCGGTGCATCCCTTTATTTATATTTATAAAAACAAAATCATACATTAAAACAGAGATGTATAAATCCCAGGAGCCCTGTATGCTCCTTACAAACGACAGCTGCCTCCTAACTTTTGAATTTTTCTCTAGTCTAGTCTTGGAGCTCGAAAAGTATCTCTACTTGTACTTGTACTTGTACCAAGTACTGTACTTGGTATCGGTGCATCCCTATTATAATGATACTAAAATTGAACTATATGTCCAGACAAAAGCTATACTTTAAAGTTTGCATATGGTGGTGCACCCTTCTGCCTACCCATACAAGGAGCATAGGTTTTTCATATGTTCCTCGACTCCATGTAGCGGCAGGAAAGGCAAGTAAATAGATTTCGCCCAGCATATAGCTGAGCAGATTTGTATATCGGCCTCCAGAGTATATATCCAGCCAAGACTTTTTTTATACAGTTTAGCATAAAGTGGTTAAGGAATAGAACCCCTATGTCCCTATGGCTGTGCGCCTGTTGCAAATTTTTCCTCACTTCCTGTGTTCTCTCTGTGACAATAAGCAGGGACACATTTTTCTAATGGAGCCCCAGATACCAGTAAAATCCCAACAGAAATTCTAATCCTTAGCCACTATCCAAAATAAAATAAAAAGTCTAGAGTTTTGGCTGGGCATTTGGTACAAAGCATGATATAAAGTTATTTACAAATGAAATACAGATTGATTTTCATCTTTCATTATAATAAGTATTTCTGCAGGTTACAGGTTGGCTGCTTTTTATTGTATTTGAGCTGGTTAATCATAACACCCATTTGACCAATGAAAAATATACAAAGTTCACTCACTTAAATATAGAAATGTGGTCTTCATTGTACTTATTAGATCACATTTAGAAACCTCATTTATGTAAGCAAGGAAAGGAAAGTGGAGCGAGCTGTTAGCTAAATCAACCAATCATAACCAATCAAAGCTGGCATTCAAAGTTAAAAAATGTTTGCCATGGTCAACATCTCCATTTTCTTTTTGTTCTATGAAAAGAGTGGATACTTTACATATGTTTGTTATGATGATATAGCAATCTATTTGTGGACAGTTATAAAACTGAACTCAACAGATGGAATTTATGACAAATGTACTAATAAGATTGTATTGGGGTTGTTATTCATGCTGTATTTTATATTTCTCCCACTTGCAATAACTGTGAAATTTTGCCCAAAGGGGTCTCTTAGTTGCAGCTATTGTGTTTCCCAGACATTCCACTACTTTTTATTAGTGATTCTCCACAGTAACATTTATTTTTTGTAGACATGACATTTGTTTCCTTAAAGTGTATTTCCATTTTTTGGAGCCAAATTGGAATAACATGTACTTTATATTTGTTACATGTTCCCAATCACATAGCATAACTTAAAAAAAAAAATTGCAGCTTATATTTTTTAGATGCTCTTTTTGCTAACTGCAGGACTGAAAAATCCTGCTTAGTTCTTACTTCCAGGGAGCTTGGGGGGAATTTTGTTTCGAATAATTAACCCTGTCTGTACTGTACTGGCAGATTTAATTATCACTTTTAAACTAGATGAGCAAGATTGTCTTTCCTAACAAAGGGTTAAAGCCCTGCAGACATTGACAGGGTTATTCACAAAAGGGTGAAGGGTTTGGAGAAGGCAGGAGAAGTGAACAATCTAGGACAACATAGCTGATTTAGAAAAATTCTCCAATTCAGCTCACTTTCCAGCTCAGCTATGTTGTCCTAGATTGTTCACGTCTCCTGCCTTCTCCAAACTCTTCACCCTTTTGTATATAAAACTGTTAATGTTAATGAGGGGGGTCCCAAGTTAATGAGTCTGTCTCAAGTCTTTCTGTTAGGACAGACAGAGTTTTCTGTAACTCCTGTGAGTTGTGAGAGAAGTTTGCAAAGGCCTGCTAAATTGAGATATCTAAAAAGGTAGGAAGTATTTAAAAAATAGATTTATAGATATGCTGAGTGAATAGGAACAAACATAGAGAGGGGTTTCTCAATTTTGCCTGCAAAAGTGGAAATACACTTTAAGCTTTGCAGGTGACAGACACTGATACCAAAGGCTCAAAGCAAGGCAATATAAAGTAATGTACAACTCTGTAACTGTTATTTTAAAAACAGAATATATATATATATATCTAACATGACTCCACTATTTTCATTGCTGACTCTAGCGAACCTGCCTTGGGCATCTAAATTACTTCCGGTCAATTGAGAGAACTCTGACAATTGATAACTCTTGTCTTGTAAGTAATTCTGGAAATCTGGAGCAATGTGCTAGAGAAGAGGCAAGTTGGCTAAGTGCAGCCCAGGGAGGATCTGGTGTGCCAGGAGGACTTGGATCTCATCAGTATATGCACCAAACCCCAGCTGATTTCAAGGTATTCCTCATGGAGGATTATTTCCAGCAATTGATTTTCCAGTCTTTAGCTGTGTTTTTGTTCAATTAATCCAGTTTTTTTTATCTCAAGGAGGGTAATTAGCCTTCCCTGTTTTGATCTTTGACCACAGAACCATAGCCTCTATGTTTTGGAAAATAGGTTGTGAGGAGGGTTTGAGTAGTTTCGCAAAAGGCAACTGCCCAGGGCTGACACCACTCTACAAAAATGCTTTGTGTTGTCAGCTCATAACAGGACTTAGGAGTGCATTTCCGGCAGATCAACATGTATTGTTTATGTACGTACAGGTCTTTAAAGGTATAAAACCTGGGGAAATGTGTAGGTGTTTCAGACTTGTACTGCATATGTTTTTTTTTCGATTTTTGCCCTGACATACACTTTAAGCAGACACCTACATTGTTAATTAGCAGTACATTAGCTCTTGTGACCAGCAGGTTCTAATGTGAAATTTAGTGTTTCAGGCCATGCCTATACTTTAAAATTGATTTTTGCATTTAATATTTATAAGAATAAGGTAATCTAAACTAGAGTGTGATGTGATTATGGGAAGTATGTTTAATTGTAAAATGTAGAGCAAATCCAGGCAGCAGGTAAACTACAGTTTCTTTACAGGTAGCAGGGCCATCTCTATGGTAATGGCCGCCTTAGGAAGGGGGGGGGGAGTTCGGGAGTGCTGGTTGATTTGTCATCCAGGGGGGAAAGCCTAGCTATCAATGGCTCTGTCTGGCATCCCACCTAGCTCACTGATGCCACTGGTTGCCAGGAGCTGGGTGGGATGCAAGCCAAAGCTTCCGCTTCCGCAACCAGTGATGTCAGTGAGCTGGGCAGGACGCCAAACAGAGCGTCACAGGTTGCTAAGAGCTCTTAGCAACCTGGGACGCTGTGGGTCTCACAACACCTGGCTGCCCCCAAATGAGATGTCGTCTGAGGTAACCGCCTCAGGCTACCTCATTATAGGGATGGCCCTGACAGGCAGACTGCAATTGTGCATGATTACCTTAAACATGATCTGTATTATTACAGGCTCAAATTCAGAGAAATTCAGAAGATAAGAGCATTAGGTTTCATATTGACTTAGATAGCAGGTAGTCATATAAAGAAGATCAATGCTACTATGAAAAGTATTCAGCAGATAGGATTTCCACTGAGCTTGTTTATATTTTACTGGGCTGTATCTTTAACCAAGATGAGTACAATTTTATTGCACACAGCTAACATTGTATAAGATCATTTGCAAGTCTATGAAATATAATTAGTGCTGGAATATCCTGAAGTACAACTGAAAGTGTGTAAGAGTACTAATTACCTATTGCAGTTATATATCACTATCTTGCAATACTGTCTGATGTTATCTGTTATATGGCCTCTGTGTCCCCACCGTCAGGTACACAGTGTACAGTTCATGGAATTTTCAGAAGTGGAGAATCATAATGACTATTACATTATTGAAGATGGCATCGCTCACACTCAGGATAGAAAAGGAGCTTTCATAGTATATGATGTGGCATTTGATGATCTGCAAGAGTTACAACATCAACTACTGCTTCTAGCAACTCTGTTCATCGAAAGAGAAAGAAGTAAAATTATTATAATATATATTTTATGCTTTGTGTAGGCTTGGGATTCACAGCTGCATTTTGAAAAAGAACACAGAAACATGCCAGACACACTAACAGACATAGTGTAACTATAGATAATGGTGACCGATGGCATTAATAAAATAGTGAGATTTATTCTGTTCCAAAAGATCACCCCCATACCTAATATAGCACACTACTTGTTTTTTTACTAGTATGATAGTGATGTATAAACTATATTTATCATATATTCATAAAATTGCTTAATGCTTTGGTTAATGATTTTCCTGATAGAGGTGGCCTCCCTGTCTTTATGGCCACGTAGGAGTTGAGTTATCTGCTTTGTCTTTTTAAGATGATATTGCTACAAAGCTTCAGGCGTCAGAATTTCATTTATGCACCCATAGCAACATATAATTTAGAGTTTGCTTAATACAGTAAAACAAAAAGCTACTGTATCAGTTGCTCCCGATAATTGAGAACGGTTCGACATTCTTTTCCAAACAAAGCAAACCGGTCATTATAGAAACATTGCAAATATTACTGCTGATTGGTGCTTAGTTTGGGTTAGTTTTGTTATCCTTATTCTTGTTTCACTACTGACCTAAAAACAAACATGCAGTCTGTGAGGTCAATACTACTGACCTGCATATTTGCTCTGCGGTCAATGGCTACCATAACTACATAATTTGGTTGATAAAAAAGTCTATCAAGTTCAACCAAAAAAAAAAAATAGAAATCATGCAGAACACTATCCCCACAGTTGATCCAGAGAAAGAAAAAACAACTTTTAAAGCATATAGGAATAGTATAGAAAGGACTTTTATGGGGAAAAAAAAACCCAACCAACATGGAATTCGCAGATCCATATTTCAATCCTGCCAGATTTTCCTAGAATTTTAACCAAAACCTGATGCTTTGGCAATGATCTGCTGAGAAAACTTGGGTCCTGCCATTCATGTGGATGCTACTTTGACACATGCCACCTACCTAAACATTGTTGCTGACCAAGTACACACCTTCATGAAAAAAGTACTTCCTGGTGGCAGTGGCCTCTTTCAGCAGGATTACACGACCTGCAACATTGCAAAAATGGTTGAAGAATGGTTAGAAGAACACAGCAAACGAGTTTGAGGTGTTGACTTGGCCCCCAGATTCTCCAGATCACAATCCAATCAAGTATCTGTGGGATGTGCTGAAAAAAGAAGTTCAATCCATGGAGGCCCCACCTCGCAACTTGCAGGACTTAAAGGATCTGTTACTGACGGCTTGGTGCCAGCTACCCAAGCATACCTTCAGAAGTCTAGAGGACTGCATGCTTTGCCGGGTCAGGGCTTTTTTGGCAGGAAAATGCGGACCTGCTCCATATTAGGCAGGTGGTCATAATGTTATGGTTGATCAGTGTACACCCATGCATCAGACACCATAGTTAGTGTGCACCAGTAGAAGGGTGCTTAATTATAATTAGGGATGAACGATACTGTTTTTCCGTATTGAGTACGAGTACCGATATATATTTCTTTCCGGTACTCACCCATACCGATACCGCTGCCATGTGCCCCGATTATCAGGAAGCCAGGCGGCGGATCATGACCCGCTGCCCAGCTCCTAATTGGAAAGATAACTGGCTCCATGCTCCCTCAGTGCTGCTGGTCAGAGGGAGCTATTCCTCTGACCGTAAGTTCCAGTATCGAAGGTAAGTATCAGAGCATTTGGGCGAGTACAAGTACTTGGCCAAATATTCTGTATCGACACTGATACCAATACTAGTATCTCTAATGATAATCCAGTGTGCTGGTACTTATGAGTCTGTATGTGCCCATGCATCTTCTTGATACACTATAGAAAATAAGAAGCAGAAATGTAAATATTTCAAAATGGTGATGAACATATTTTGCTTTGTTTCCTATACTTGTTATGTGATTTTTTTTTAATGAATATTTCATCATATGCCATTGCTAGTGAACAGTTTACTAGGCCAGTGTTTTCAATGTTAATAAAACAGGTGATAATTGCTCAAGAATTTTTTGAAATCTTAGGCATGTCATCCTGCCAAGAACTCTGTTTTGTCTATTTTTTTTAAGATTTCAAAGAAAGTAAAAGAGAAGCTGATGTAAATCTCTCCGACTGGGCTCACATTAATGTGGATCGCTTTGCTCTGCTGCTTGACCTGTGGACTTGGGAATGTGTCCTGCTAGAAAACAAGCAGCAGGTAGAGAGCTTATTGCTTGTCATTTACTTAGCTTTCAGCTTCATGCACTTTCTTTTTCTCTTCATATTTTCCCCACATCACAATGTCTTTCAGTCCAGCCTTCCCATTACATGGCCAAATATTTAATCTTTAGATTTAGTGCCATTCCTTTTTCCATTCATTTTTTTTTTTTACTATCTTGAAAAAATGACACGCTAACCAATAAGAGTGGAAAAAATAGGGCACATAGACATATGTAGGATCAACCGGTAACATCTCAATGTCAGCATGAGCTTTTAAAAGTTCATCACTTGATTTATGAGTGCAACAGCAAATTATTATCAATATCCATTACTGCTGCATGTTATAGTGAAGGATGTGATAAGATAATAAATTAAATGATAAAAGGATACATAGGCCCCTATAATTCATGAGTTCTCAGAACTTGGATCTTAATGGGTGTAGTTTCGATTGCAGAGAGCAGGGCCTTACCATACCTAAGGATCCCTTCACACTAAGCCTCCCTTTAATCTTAACACTAACAATCCCTGTATTCTTTACACTAACCTACCCTATAGCCCAAACTCTCATACTACCTCTCCCTGTAACCCTACCACTAACTTCCCTGTAACCCTCACACTGACCATTCCTGTAATCCCCACACTAACCCTCCCTGTAACCCTAACACTAACCTTTACGCTTAACTGTGAGTCAGCAACAGGACAATTGCGATCTATCCATCAATTGCAACCACGTGACATGATCTGTTACCCTGCTGTGCTGACCCTCCTCAGAAGTGGTAGCCACCTCTCAGCCTTCAGTTCAGAGCAGAAATAGGCATTGTAGAGTTGAGGGAAGCCCTAGGCTCCTCCACGGCTCAGATGATTCATATGACGGAGCCAAAGGAATACCTAGAAGGACGTCTCTCACTCTGCTGGCACCTCTGCATCTTCATGAGGTTTGGTGAGTTAACTTGCAGAGGGAGGGGGAGATTTGTGCTGTAGGCTATTTTAGTTTAGTGCGGTAGATGTTTGTACTGGAAAGGGGGGTATTCTTGTTTGTGATGGGGAGACGTGTGTTAGTTGACCTCTGCACAGTGTGCTACATACTACTGACCTCTGCACTACATACTCCTGACCCCTTTACGCTGCTTTACATACTATCTGCCTCTGAACTCTGTGTTACTTACTCCTGATCCTTTGAGCTCTGCATTACAAACTACTGACCCATGCACTGTGTTTCACATACTACTGACCCATGCACTCTGCTTTACAAACTACTGGCCTCTGAACTCTGCATTACTTACTCCTGATTCTTTAAACTCTGCATTGCATACTACTGACCCCTGTACTCTGCATTTCGTACTCCTAATCCGTGTGCTGTGTGTTACATACTACTGACCTCTGCATTCTGTGTTACCTTTAATCCCTGTACTCCACATCACATACTACTGACCTCTGAACTCTGCTTTACATACTACTGACCCCTGATCTCTGTTACTTACTATTGAACTTCTAAACTTTTCAAACCTTTCTTACTTTTAATGGGGCCTTGCTGGTTTTTTTTTTTGATGTCTCCATGTTGTTCGGGTAGATCTTCATCTGTCCACGGTTGCCTATCTCCTGATCTAAACCTTACATTAAAACTCCCAAATGTAACCATAGCCTCTTGTTTGCATAATACTCTTCCCTGTGCTGGAATCCTCTGCACCAACGGCCAGTCCCTCCTGCATTAAAATATATTTATTTTGGTGCTTGAATATTTGCCGGCGTATAAGACGGAGTTTGAGACCTAAAAAATTTGCCCGAAAATCGGGGGTCGTCTTATACGCTGGGTATACTTCGGTATACTGTATGTAGCTTCGGCTACATACAGTATACCGCGCTGAGCCAATCACGGCAGGCTTTGTATTCATTAATACAAAGCCTGTATTCATTAATACAAAGCCTGCTGTGATTGGCTCAGCGCTGAATACAAATTAATGAATACAAAGCCTGCCGTGATTGGCTCAGCGCTGAGCTAATCACGGCAGGCTTTGTATTACTGTGGCTCGGGGTTAACACTTATGGTACTGAAAATTAACCCCAAGCCACACTCGGGAATACCGTCAAGGAGGTTAGTAAGTGTATTTAAACATTGTTTTGGGCTATACTCGTCTTATATGACGAGTATAGCCCAAAACCTATATTTTAACACAAAAAGTAGGGGGTCGTCTTATACGCCGGCAAATACGGTACTGATTTGGGACCCTACATGTACATATACAAGAAAAAAATCTATTTATGGCCATACATTTTTATATGAACAGGTGTCTCACAGGATATAGATTGCATTTAGCTATAGTTTGTAAAAGGACCACAAGGAATGGAAGTGGACAACACAGATCACTCATTATAGCATTATTAAATGCTTGCTTTATGCTTTGTTGGTTGCATTCTGCAATTGTCATAAAGCACAGCAATAAATGTTGGGAGTTGCTTTTAGAAATAAAGTATTCAGATAAGGTTCTACTGTACAGGTTGACACTTAGCATTGTTTCTGTGTTCCATGTTTAGGAATGTTGACAAAATATTCTCTAAAATCCATTTGTATTTAATATGCCTGTATTCCATATGCTGTACAGGCAACACAGCAAGCTATTTTCAGTGTCTTAACACCATGTATTTCTCCTATTTAACTAGCTTGTAGATAGTTACTATGAAGCTTATCAGCATGTATGTGATCCAGAAGAAAGACTCGCCTTGGCACAAGTGATCACTGACATCATGTATCGGCGCCCACGGTTTGACATTGGCTCGAAATACTTCCTGGATGCTTACCGGGATGAATGCCAATGCCTGAGGCTTCACTTGCAGCTTATAAGAAATGTATTAAATAACCAGGTAAGCAAATACATCTCAGCTTAGAAACTTTGCAACAATCTCAGAAAAGCACAGTTCTGTAGCAAAAGAAAATTATAGCTATAATTATAAAGATAATTTTTATTAAATTGCAGCTACCGTGTATATTTTTTCAGTCTTGAGTTTTGCTCTTTGAGCTTTAAAATTCCAGTTTCCAGATTCATCTCTGTTGTGACTGTATATGGTGTCATCAAGAATAGCTAATATAGTATCACAGGTTTCCTTTCTGTGCTTCCATAGATGTGGCTTTGAGGGGCCACACTTGGTGGACTTGCCCAAATACCACATGATTATGAATAAGTGTTCAGTTTATTAAAACTGAACTAACATTCCAAAGACTTTCTTATTGGTACTATCTAGGTACACAATCCACAAATCGTTAAGGCCAAACATACTTTAATTTCCATTTCATTTTTTTTATTGCCAAAACTGCAATTGCATAATCATGGAAATTAATGAAAATGCAATTTAATGTAGTAAACATTCGAACATTCTGAATGATAGAAATTATCTGAGAAACAGTGTCTGGATTCGGATAAGTCATACCTAATTTATACCATACAGTAAATAGTGGACTTGTTCCTGAGTAGGACCCATTGCCCTTTTTTCTTATGCTTTTTTTTTTCCACTTTCTTGTGTTTTTTTTTCACTATTATCAGTCTACCCACTTTATGTTTGTACTTCATTGCAACTTAAAAAAAAAAAAAGTATTTATACCCCAAAGTGTAGTTTTCACGAAATTACTATAATGCACCACTAAATAACCCCCCTTCTATTTACATATCTCCACTTAATTTCCATGTATTTTCCCCTTGTCCCCCGACACTTTCAGTTACTTTTCCCCAATACATTAGCTTATGACACCAAGAATCTGGATTTGGTGGAGGTTGATGAGAAGGTGCACTGCAAAACAAATTGAAAAACAGTTTGCACATTGCCCTGATCCCAAACCTTAACCCAATCTTTAGGCTACCACTGACGCTTAGCAAACATATAAAAATTTGTATTACTGTGGCTCGGGGTTAACACTTATGGTACTGAAAATTAACCCCAAGCCACACTCGGGAATACCGTCAAGGAGGTTAGTAAGTGTATTTAAACATTGTTTTGGGCTATACTCGTCTTATATGACGAGTATAGCCCAAAACCTATATTTTAACACAAAAAGTAGGGGGTCGTCTTATACGCCGGCAAATACGGTACTGATTTGGGACCCTACATGTACATATACAAGAAAAAAATCTATTTATGGCCATACATTTTTATATGAACAGGTGTCTCACAGGATATAGATTGCATTTAGCTATAGTTTGTAAAAGGACCACAAGGAATGGAAGTGGACAACACAGATCACTCATTATAGCATTATTAAATGCTTGCTTTATGCTTTGTTGGTTGCATTCTGCAATTGTCATAAAGCACAGCAATAAATGTTGGGAGTTGCTTTTAGAAATAAAGTATTCAGATAAGGTTCTACTGTACAGGTTGACACTTAGCATTGTTTCTGTGTTCCATGTTTAGGAATGTTGACAAAATATTCTCTAAAATCCATTTGTATTTAATATGCCTGTATTCCATATGCTGTACAGGCAACACAGCAAGCTATTTTCAGTGTCTTAACACCATGTATTTCTCCTATTTAACTAGCTTGTAGATAGTTACTATGAAGCTTATCAGCATGTATGTGATCCAGAAGAAAGACTCGCCTTGGCACAAGTGATCACTGACATCATGTATCGGCGCCCACGGTTTGACATTGGCTCGAAATACTTCCTGGATGCTTACCGGGATGAATGCCAATGCCTGAGGCTTCACTTGCAGCTTATAAGAAATGTATTAAATAACCAGGTAAGCAAATACATCTCAGCTTAGAAACTTTGCAACAATCTCAGAAAAGCACAGTTCTGTAGCAAAAGAAAATTATAGCTATAATTATAAAGATAATTTTTATTAAATTGCAGCTACCGTGTATATTTTTTCAGTCTTGAGTTTTGCTCTTTGAGCTTTAAAATTCCAGTTTCCAGATTCATCTCTGTTGTGACTGTATATGGTGTCATCAAGAATAGCTAATATAGTATCACAGGTTTCCTTTCTGTGCTTCCATAGATGTGGCTTTGAGGGGCCACACTTGGTGGACTTGCCCAAATACCACATGATTATGAATAAGTGTTCAGTTTATTAAAACTGAACTAACATTCCAAAGACTTTCTTATTGGTACTATCTAGGTACACAATCCACAAATCGTTAAGGCCAAACATACTTTAATTTCCATTTCATTTTTTTTATTGCCAAAACTGCAATTGCATAATCATGGAAATTAATGAAAATGCAATTTAATGTAGTAAACATTCGAACATTCTGAATGATAGAAATTATCTGAGAAACAGTGTCTGGATTCGGATAAGTCATACCTAATTTATACCATACAGTAAATAGTGGACTTGTTCCTGAGTAGGACCCATTGCCCTTTTTTCTTATGCTTTTTTTTTTCCACTTTCTTGTGTTTTTTTTTCACTATTATCAGTCTACCCACTTTATGTTTGTACTTCATTGCAACTTAAAAAAAAAAAAAGTATTTATACCCCAAAGTGTAGTTTTCACGAAATTACTATAATGCACCACTAAATAACCCCCCTTCTATTTACATATCTCCACTTAATTTCCATGTATTTTCCCCTTGTCCCCCGACACTTTCAGTTACTTTTCCCCAATACATTAGCTTATGACACCAAGAATCTGGATTTGGTGGAGGTTGATGAGAAGGTGCACTGCAAAACAAATTGAAAAACAGTTTGCACATTGCCCTGATCCCAAACCTTAACCCAATCTTTAGGCTACCACTGACGCTTAGCAAACATATAAAAACTACGGAAATTCTGCAATCAAGTATTGTATGTATATGTGCACTTAGGTTTCCATATTCGATCCAGAGACTTTTTTTCTTTTATTATTTGCAGTCTGTATAAATGCAGACCATTTGGGCTACGTACATACACTTTGTAGAAGTGTAACTAATAGTTGAATAATAAGCTATAAGCCAGTGTAGAATAAACACTGTATTTAACATGAATTATATTTTTCATCATTAGTTTTATGTCTGTTTGTATAGCTAGAAAGCCAAAGGGAATTTGTTCAGAAGATTTGGCGAGATGGCCATAAAGGAAGTTTCTATGACTTTGGCCTTCCACTTAATATTATTACTAAGCCACTTGTCTCACTTAACACCAGTAGGTAAGATAAGAAACTGTACTTTTTATATTTCCATTACTGTGTTGATCACTGCTAATTCATTGCAAAGAGATTAGGTAAAATGTATTGTATCTAAAGCCAATATGTTTTCATAGTTTTGGATAAAGTAGGGCAGCCTTACTCAACCAGGGTGGCTTAGCACCCTGGTCTGCCTTCTGGCTTCCTTAGTGATGTCCCTATGTTTTCACACAAAGTCATGCCTCTGATGTAAAGAAGGTTTTCTGATTTGAAAGATGGACTCTGATTTTAAGGAGGAATCCCACTTTTTTTGTGTTTTTGCCTGGTGGTTCCCCATCCATACCAGATCCGTATCTCATATAAGGGATTGGTATGGATTTTATGGATGGGACCACATGTAGTTTTTTTTACATTCACGGTTTTCACATTTTACACATATGCATATTTTTGAAGGGTGCCATGACTGAAAAAAGGTTGGGAGACGCTGGAGTAGGGAATGGTTAAAATGTCTGTTGTACTTTTTTTTGCTGTGTCTGATTAAGGAGTTTTCCCTTAACTTATTGTGCCATGGAAGTGGGAGAAAATCTCTACAAGGTGGGGAAAATATTCTTAGACAGTTGTCACCTCTATTGTCTAATCCTAGAGACAAATCAAAATGTTTACTCTAATTTTCAGCCCTTGGGACAATGGGCGGCTACCCAACAGGGTTGCAGGCAATAATAAAAACTTGACAGAGGTTCTTACCCTTCTGCACTCTATCCAAAGCTTAAACAAAAATGTTTGACTTTTATTTCATATATTAGGAACATTGGCATGCTTCAGTAGTTGATAAAAAAATGCATACTCGTACTGTAGATATAAGGCAACGCCAACATATGCAGTCGCTAAATTTTGAACCTCAGTTATAGTGTTTAGAGCCAAACTCTGGGAAAAATTATAATTACCCTGTACTGTGTGTACATTTAATTCAAAAGATGTATGTGATGTGTGGAGGGCTGTTACAAAGTATAAAAATCTTACCTTGCAGCATGTCATCTCCTGGCTTTCAGGTGCTGTGGGAAATGAGAGATGCAACTCAAGCAGTAAAGTGCTGCAGTCTCATCCCCGTCCATCCTCACTACTTGCCCATTCACAAAATGCCTTTTATTTTTCTTAAAGGATACAAGACATCTGTGAGTGAAGGAGGAGAGGAGGCAGGGTGATGTGACATCATCTCTCCTCCTCTAATCACAGAACGTCTTTGTGAAAAGTACAAGGTAATTTGCGAATGGGCAAATAGCGAGGAGGGACAGGGATGCGACTGGAGCACTCTTTGTAATACTTTTCTTTTTAATCAATGTAATAGAGTATGTTGCTTGCAAATAGCCTCTAAATGCCTACCAATTTTGTGAACAACTGCACACAAAACTTATTTTTTCCTACAGCAATCTGTGTACAAACCCAAAATTGCTATTGTATTTTCTCCTTTTACATTCAGTCCTGCCTTAAAAAATGTTTACCTCCTGGAGTTTCATCCTTCTCTTGGATTGGCCTACCTTATCCCCAAAACCTTAGAGCACGTATGTGAGGAATTTCTACATACCTGCACAGCAAAGACACCCAAGGAGGTCTACAGTGTGGAGAAAAAGGTCTTTGAGTTAGCGCTAAATGAATGGTCAACCCAAAAAGATCTCCAGTTATCCTTTATGGCAAATGTGCACAAAGATGTAAGTATGTTTCCATTCACTGTGCTGCAAACAATGTAAACTGCTCAATCAGTTTATAATCAGCAAATGATGAAAAAGAGGACCTTAGCCCTACACATTAATAATTTAGTTTGCCAAAGAGAAATTATCAGTATCAGGGCCTGCTTTATAGGGCTCAGACAACTGGGGTGTGGTGGGTGTGTCTGACACCCCCCTTTCTAGTCAGAGAGTAGCCAGTTACTAAGAGCCCACTGGCATCACTGGTTGCCAGGAGCTGAGCTGGACTCTCTGGCTGGTGTCCAGCAGCAGTTGAGAATCTTCAAACAATAAATTGTGTGAATATATGCCTTATCCAATCGTACAGATGAACTACATAACAGGAATTTGCTTTTCACTTGATTGAAAAAGATTTATTGTAAGAATATTCTCAACTCCTTAAAAGAGAACTATGGTCTCTTTAGGGTCACAGGAGGACAAATACTATTACTAACGTCCTCCCGTGACCCAAAGCTCAGTATATAGCTGTTGCCCACGATATACTGAGAGCGCCGCAGCCAGGATGGATCCCGACAATACTGTAGCGATCCATCCAGCTGCGTGAGTGACAGAGAAGATCGGGAAGTGAGCGTATCGGCTGCATGTTTCTGCTCACTTCCAAATCGATAGAGCCGACCTGTGACAGCTTCTTTGTCATTTGTTGGCTCCAACTATGAGGATGAGTGGAAATCAGTTGTCCTTTAAGAAAATCAGCATTATTTTTATCTTACCATTCTTTAGATATGGTGGCTGCATTCGTTTTTCTTTTTTTCCCAGGATTTTTTCCCTTTCTTTTCACTTTTAATCCTGCAGGTAATACACTTCCTGTCAATGAATGGCTACACTCACGCCTTCATTGTATTTATGGAGGAGCCATGGCTGTCACACAAGCTGGTCTGCCTTTGTTCAATACATGGAGTATGATGAGATTAATAACTTACAGAAACAGTATAACATTGTGTTTTGCTTTCAAGTCAGCTCACTGGAAGTGACAAGGACATTGCATTTTTGGCCAGATCAACAGGTAATTTCTATACTTGCTGAAAAATATCTTAAGCCTGAAAAAAGGAAACTAATGCAGACACCACATCTGAAGACTAGTAAACTGCTATATATTTTTGTTTTTGGGTTTAGTTATGCTTTAAGGAATCTTTTGATTAATGTTAAACTCCACACCAATCTAAAAAAAACATAAAAAATATTTTGGTAGGTAAGAACATTCACATATACAGTATGTATTTCATCCATGTCTTTAGAGCTCTGCGTGCAGCTCAACTTTACAGTGCAATTTCAATTTGTTAAAAAAATTGGAGAAAGAAATGTAATTGAATGAGTCTGGAGCAATTTTAAAGCAAATCTGTTGTTTAAGGCTAGGTTCACATATTGACGATTGTCCCGGGACCATGCGATTGTGCACAATTGCACACAGCGATTGCCGCACGGCCCCATGGATTTCAATGGGGTGATATCCGTGCTGCAATTGCTAAAAAAAAAGGTACACGTAAAAAATTTTGTGACAGCTACATTTTTTCACCCACGATTGTGCGCGATTGCATGGGCGGTATTGCATCAGGAAACTGCGCAATCTGCCTGGTGCGACTGGGGTGCCATTAGAAAATAATGGCACCGCCAGCAAGATCGGCGGTGGTGTGCAATTCCGTGACCACGCGGCCATCTGCGCGGTTTCGTGCACAATGCTTTACCTAAACCATAATGCACTATATACATTTCTTCCCAGCAGCCCAATGTCAGTCTCTGTTGCTCATTATATATTTTATGATGCAGTTATTTGAAGAAGTGCTGGTGGAAGATCCAATGATGGTTACAGATATCTGCATGTTTACGTTGAATTCTGCTGATGAAGAAAAGAAGCATGGTACAGCAAAGCAAATGTTCATTTTGGAAACATTCAGCAAGATGCTTGAACTCATCACTCTGCGTCACAGAATAATAGAAATGTCATTAGAAACAGCAATGTTATCCAGGTCAGTGATATTAAGCCAGCCAGGGTTGGGGAATTAAGAAGTCACTTTGAGCAAAACTAGGTGGGGCAGTTGCGTATGTGCAGTGGGAAAAAAGAATGTTACTTTCATGGGTCCATAAATATTGCACAAATCTTTTTATCAAATGCACACAAGCAGCTACAGTCTCCTTTCTTTTGTAAAGCTTCTGCCTTTCATTTCCCACCCATAGGCCTGCCTTTACTTACAATATGCATATCTGATTGATCAGCAGACGTCTATCTATTCATGAGCTGAATTCTGTTTGTAATAACCTGTAAGGGTTGAAGGTTTCATTACGAAGCAGCCAATCACACTTTAAAGCAGGGGTAGTCAAACATTGGCCCTTCAGCTGTGGTGAAACTATAAATCCCATTAGGCATTGCAAGACTGACAGTCACAGGTATGACTTCTAGAGGCTGATGCATGATGGGATTTGCGGTTTCACCACAGCTGGAGGGCTGAAGTTTGGCTGACCCTGCTCTAAAACAAAGACAGGTCATTTGGCAACGATGAAAAGCAGCCACTGTACGAAGTAAAGTAGACTTCACTGAATTACTGCAATCATTTGATTCCTGAAGATAAAGATTGCCATATCACCCACATGGTCCTTGCAATTCAAATACAGGGTGAAAAGTGAATGAATAGATATGCAGATACGTTGTATGAGTGTACAATACAACACTATTAGGGAAGAGTGAAGAACTAAGGGCATCTATGTGAGTGGATGGGCAGACAGTATGGAGCTGATGTATAAAACTTCCACCCAGCACACATCTGGCATTACTACCAATAGATGGAGCTGAGGAGTATAGAAGATGTTTTATACATCAGCCTCTCTGAGTTGTTGTGGTAATAATGTAATTAGGATTGGAGGTTAAGAGGGTAGGAAGTTGGTGTTAAGTAAATGGTCAGAAATGTTTACAGAGAAATGTGTTTAAGGAAATGTAGTAATTTGTATTCATAACTCATTTTTGAAAACAAGTGCAAAAAAGGCTGTGCACAATTTAAGCTGCAATTTTTTTTTCTACAATTGCAATATACTTTATTGAAACCAGGCAAGTAAACAAAAAAGCAAACACGGTCACTCAGACATGTCCTTCACCTATGCATTTTTCTAAGCCATGGGGTTAAGGAGTCTAGGGAGGTAGGGAATTGAATAGGATATTGTGACAACCACAATGCAGCAGTCTTAAAGCAATGGTCTGCTCCAGTTTTAATAAATTCCCCCCACTGCTCATTTAATGCACTGTATGCCCAACTTTTAGGGGGTGCATTGTGCTGCTATATTTTCCTTGGCTTGACTTGAAGTCTTGTATGCAATGGCTTGACTACCTCTTTTATATAATGCATGTAAAATTCCAGGTAATGTAGTTTTAATGTATGCGTCGGTAATATTTTACTAATGTTTAGTGGATAAACATTTTCAGTTAGGAACATTAAATAGATTTAATAATTAAACAAATACAGTAAATTTTTTACAGTGATTTAATGCTGCTTCCTGATGCCTGTTTTTTTTTACAACTATACTGAACAGGACATACACCTATTTTGCTGAAGAGATGGGATTCAATGAGTTCCACTTATACTTGAGGCCTGTACGTTTTGAGTTTGCAACTCACAAAGCACAAGTTGACCAGATTCAGCCTACTTTCATCACATCTCTGCTCGAAGATGATAGCAGTGTGGATCGGTGAGTTATTTATATTACCATGATAGAGATACAAGATCTACAGCAGAGCCAGCTGCTCAAGCTAACCATACAACAGCTGTTTTTTTTTCAGATTTGGCCACACATATCAATGCCTATACAAGAGAGGTTTGGCTGGTTGGTTCCCAAGCAAAATTTTAGGAAGTCAAAGTGTCCATAAATTTGCTTGTACCATAAACATATTCACTGATCTGATGCTAAACTAGCTAATCTATTTATATTTCCAATTAGATATTCACAAGCCAGATGATTCATTTTCATGTCATATTGTGATAGTAGGTTTAAACCTAAAAAGTCTGACAACATATTGGACCCATGTAGGACCACTGTAACAGGAATAGTGTTTTGACACCAGTGTCTTGTCTTTCTATAAAGACTGTTTGAGCTAGTCAGTAAAGGTTTTGAAGAAACTCCAGAGTATGTGTATTCAGGGTCAGACTGGGACACAGGGGACCACCAGAAAAAAGATATGTACACCTCCTCCACCATGTAAGGTCTTCCTCCCCCAGATCTGGTCACTTGCAGAGTACAGGATGCCAGCCCTGTCAAAAGGGGACAGAATGCAGGGACTGGTCATTTCCATCTATTACATCAGGAACTGTGTGTGAGGCCCTGGAATGAGAGTGCTGGAGTAAATGGTTCTGTGGCCTGTGTGTATATGTGGCAGTCATTCTGCTCTCCAGGAAATCTAGTGGTTTCAGAATGCATTCCACGCAGTACAGTAGAACAGTATACAATTTCTATGATTGGTCTACAGATTCAGCATACAGATACAGTTTCAGCATTTTACTGTTATTTTTACTATAGAAGGTTGTTATTAATTTTGCACGTTTTTGCAACTATGACTTGCAGGTATTCACCTTCTGCTCAGCTGCTTGCTATTCATGAGGTGGACGACAATCAGATTGGAAAGTTCAGCTTCTGGACAAAGGATGGTATATTACAGGTGAGCTGTCCTCTGCAGGTTAGGTTGTATGTGATTGTAGTAACTTCTTTAAGGAAAATTATAAGGGTGCACCATCAAATAGTATCCCTTCCCTGTGTGGGGATGATTTTTTTCTTTTGTTTAATTTGAGCTACAGTTGCATATACTATATTTGCTTTGCAACAAACTTTTAATACTCAGTACAGCTGTGACACTCTGTTGCTAAAGAAAGAGAGAGCGCAGCAGATAGTGTTTACACCATATTGTCAATTCATAATTGAAACTTTGTGCACACAGAAGAAAGAATGGGGAGAGAGGGGGAGCAGTCACCCCTCTGATGCATTTACATGTGTGTGAATTTCAGCTTGAGCTCCTGTGCTCTATAAACAGCAGGTTTTTATTCCTCAAATCAAATAAAGCTGGTCATAACAACTTAGTAAATCACCAAAAAAAAAAACAAATACAGAATGTGTTTTTTGGGTGTTCTGGCACTAACTGATTGCATACTTGTTCTGGGTAAATGACTTTCTAAGTAAACATAAGAATGATAGCCCCAGACTTTATATTTTCAAAAACAAGTCAGCAATAGCAGCTCCCATATTTCAATTGATATGTTCATTTTAAAATGTCTGGCTGGTTTACTACACACACCTAGAAAAATTTCTTAAAAAATAATGAAAATGTTGGTATTTTATTTTAAGCTTCTGAGTAAAGATGGCGTGGAGAATTTACAAGTGGTACTCACCTGTCAAGTCATCCAGAAAAATGCCCTGATAGCTGCCACTCAGCTGGCTTCCTTTTGTCAGATGTCATCCTGGATCAGCAAGCAGGTGATGGATATAAAGGTTAGTAACAGAATAACCTAGACCCGCGTTTCACAAGCTTTTTTTAGTCACGGCACTCTTTAAAAGTATGCAATCTTAAGGCACCCCAATCTAGAATGTTTTAAAAATGGAAATGTAGAAAATAATGTGGTGTCCCTCTCAAAATATATACCAGACCCTTATTCAAGATAGTGGTCTGGTATGGGTTTTAAGGGGGGACCCCATGCAAATAAAGACATGAAATTCCCCCTTCACATCGGAGTCCACTCTCTTCTCATCAAGAGCCTCAAATCATTACAGTTTTCACCACAGTGTGGCAGAGGGCATGAGGTGGAGAAGGTCTGGACAGAGATGGACTTATGTCCTCTTCCGAATGCTGGGGAAGGTCATGAATACAGCTCGCCTGGATTAGCGTCTTGCTTTTGTATGGTGCTGGTGCCTAGCTTGCTTGCACCATGGAAATGCATTAGGTTGTGGAAAAATCTGAAGGCATCCCTGACAAAGATAGAAGGAATCCCAGGTTGCCACAGCACCTTGGTTGAGAAAGGCTGACCTATACGCTATAGGGACCTTGCTACTGTTTCTTTCAGATATATTCAGCCATGAAGCCCTCTCAGCTGTTTCGAGGGTTATCGTTAGGGATGTCCCGATGCCACTTTTTCAGGCCCAAGTACAAGTACATCCCCTCATGTACTTGCCGATACCAATTACCGATACTTTTTCTTAAAGGGACAGGTGACTTTAAATGATCCATAGTACAACTACATGTTATGTACTATGGATCATGGTTTAACCTATTCATGTTAGCAGTGGAGAATTGTAACTCTATTGCTGGAGTGTAGTGGAGGTGTGTGCTGTATATATGTACTACATATACAGTACACACGTCCAGTACACTATACGGTAGTTTAACCCATTCATGTTAGCAGGGGATAATTGTAAATGTATTGCTGCAATGTGCGGGACATTTGTGCTGTATATGTACAGTATAGATATACAGTATATAGATATACATTATATATTGTCTTGTCAAAATGCCTTGTATCGGGCCCGATTCCGATGCTAGCATCAGTATCGGGACATCCCTAGTTATCGTTGCTATTTTTAACGTAAAATAAACCTGTTAGTAGAGGTAATGGGTAGAAACAAGCTTAGAAATGCAGATTTCGGCAGCCTTTGGAAAAGTCTGTGCTGGGGAATGCCCCAATTTATTGAGAGGCCTTCCGCATTCTGCCACATACTGCAGGCACCTCTTGGTTTCAAGGAATTCTTTAGAGATGCATTTTCAAGTAAGACACTATGATCAACTTGTGGATGTGTCTAGCCTACATTTCTATGTTACCGTTTGTATCCGATTTGCTTTAATGGATTACGACTGAAATGTAATGAACATAATCCACAAAACATACCATAGTAATAATCCCCATAACACACCAGTTTTTCATTTATTTGCCGTCTGCTTTCCTATGACAGTTGAAAGTCATTTACTATTAACAAGCTATGAAGCATCATTTTTGACAAACCTTTAATTCTAAGCAACCATATACCATAATCTGTCTGACCTGTTTAACAGCATTTTGGCTTAGGAAATTAATGATAGGTGTGCACACACTGAGCTAGAACAATGTAGTGTGTTGTCTTTCAGTTGGTTGTTGTATACATAGGAAAAAAACAAGCAATTAACACACCGAGAGAAGAAAATGTGTGTCCTTTTCTATGTTAAAAGAAATCCCTAGCTCTTATGCATTGCAAGAATTTGTAGCAGATGTTAAATATACTTTTAGAAATTGTAATTTCCCTAAATGATAACTAGGAAGGAGGATTTAGTCATTCAGTTGCCTTTCAGCATGTGTTTGCTATCAGAGCTTACCAAATGCCCCTGCATTTTCAAGTGTTGACAAGCTTTGTGATGTGTTCAGTGAGCCCTTAATAGGCTTATTTGGAACCCAATCTGCATAATAATAATAATAAAAAAGGGCCCTTAAAAATTATCTTTATTGAAAAGGACTCATGTCTGGCCCGTACACAGTGTTTCAAAACAGGAGTATAATAAATAATGTTTATTTATTCTATTTTATTTTTTCCCTCACATTGCAAACAATCATCGTAACACATCAGGCCACATGCATGTCCTCCCAGGTATAGAGATCCTTAAAGGGTTTCTAAACCCTCCGTATATTTTGCATATATGCTAACAAGCAGTAGATATATGCAAAAAGTAAAAAAAAAAACCCTTCAGCGGTTCGAACTTACCCTGTCTTTGCCTTGTGCTCCCGCCCGAGAATCCGAAACTGCTCGGGCGGCCGCAAAGCATCCTGGGGCGGGCGCATGCGCAGTTTGGATTTTCAGCCGGGAGACGAGCAGAGGCGCAAGGGAAGTCTAAGGTCGCGTGCACCCGCATGCAGACACCGTGGGATCGGAAGTGCCAGCAAGGACAGAGGAGTCGGCGCTGGATCGTAGACCTGCAGCACCGCTGGAGGGACAGATGAAAACATGAGGAAAGAAGAGGAAGATCGGATTAAGATACATCATTTAAGGTAAGTGCTAACATTAATATTGAGGGGAGGGAAACATTTGTTTGACTTTACAGTAATGTCACTTTAATGAGAATTGGTTTTCTAGACCAGGGCTCAAAATTTCCACTTGCCTGCTCGCATTTGGCGAGTAAAAATAAGGTGAGTGGTATTATTTTTTGTGTGCGGGGGGGTTTGTAACGTTGAGAAGTGTATTATTGTGTTTTAAACTGGCCTTACACCTTACAACCATCGCACGACTTTGGTTATGCGATGGTTGTAAGGTCATTAAAGTTTCATACGATCTGCTCATCTTGGACAGGCAGATCGTACTTGCGATGAACGCAGTGCTGAGCGGGCAGTGTGCGCTCGCGCACACCGGCCACTGCAGCATTCGTCTTCCGACCACGCCACCAACCCGCCAAACATCGTACGATTTTTGGCAGGTTTTCCAGCATGCTTGGAAGATGAAAGTCGTACGACCTTACAGTAGAAGCGGTCGCACGCTGCCCATACACCTGCCGATTATCGTACGATCGCGGGATCACCCACAACTATCGTACGATAATCGGCAGTTGTATGGGCACCTTTAGTGTATGTGTATATTAGGCCCCATTCACACCTACAGTATAATTCAGGTGTGATTAGAGATTCCTGTGTCAGGAACTTGCATTTTACTGCAGCAGGAATCCCTAATCTGCCGTTTACAAGCGGCAACTATCATAAGATAAGAATTATCATAATATTTAATTAAGAGAGTGTGTTTAGGGACGGAGTTAAGGCCGGGGCAGGGTTAAGGCCGTGACACTATTGCACACGAAGCTGAGCGTGCCGAGATGAACAACTTCAGCCAATCGGCTCCCGCGTATAAACCGGTGCGAGGGAATGCGACGTCTGGCCGGTTAAGCACGAGCCGATTGGCTGAAGGTGAAATCAATCATCTGCCTGCACTCAGCTCACACACTGCACGCAAAGCTCCGTGTCGGATAGCTTTGCTTCGATCTGCCCGGCTTCGCGTGCAGTGTGTCACGGCCTTAAGGGTTAGGTAGGGCAACTGGTGGCTAGTGACTCTCAAGGCCTGGCTAGTAGCTCAGGACTTGACATTTTGAGTCCTGTTCTAGACAATGGATGTGATATAACATTTTCACATATCATGGCGTTACAATGATTAAACCAACTTCCATGAATTAAATGAACAATGATGCAATTTAACTTTACTTATAACATCCTTAAATTTTTACCTCTCATAAAAGTGAAATTAAAGAATTTCTTAAACAGGTGGACGTACATTTTATCCTGGCCTAGCAAAAGGCTGTATTTCATTGCCACATTCCTGGATGGTCTGCAATTTGTGTCAAAGGAATTCAATTTCCTTTTTTCTCTTTATTTTTGTTTCCTTAAGAAGAGTTCCTTTTCTTTGCAAAAAACCCCCCCAAAAAACAACAACGAAAAAACGTTTAAATTAAAAAGAAAAAAATGTAATTGCTGGCTTCATTCCTGCTGCTCATATCCTTTGGTTCTCCTATAAAATATAATTATTATGATTCTAAAAATATGAATTTATTTAAGTCATCCTGCGCAGTCTCAGCCTGGTTTATATAGAAAGGTAGCTGTCTTTGCTAATATTCTTTGTTGTTTTAGTTCTCTGCATGCATTGCTTTTTTGTTTTTCATTTGAATATTCTATTTTGTTTAAACAAATAAATAACAAAAACACATTTGCTGAATCTGCCACCTGTCTCTATTACTGGCTTCCAATTGCCCAACACATTTTTAAAAAAATACTAACAACATACAAAGCCTGTCCTCCTCCCTTCTCACAAGAACTCCTGCTCTCTAGTTCCCTCATCCCTCCTGCCATGATCACCTCTAGGACATCACCAGAGTCTCTCCCATCCTTTGGAACTCCCTACCCCAATCTGTCTGGATATCTCCTACTTTGTCTGCCTTCACGATCCCTGAAAACTCATCTCTTCAGGGAAGTCTATCCCGCCTCAAACTAACAACTGAACTTTTACTTTCTCCATCAACTTATCCTCACACAGCTACCACCTTTTTTGTATCACTTGAATTGTAATTGAATTTCAATGTAACTGTACTGTCTTTCCTTATTTTGTAAAGCACTACAACACCTGTTGGCACTGTATAAAGCCTGAATAATAATAACAATAAGCATCTGATGGTTGTACATATTAGCATTGCAGCTTATTCTGGATTTTGTCCAAAGAAGGCAACAGATTGTTGCAGAATGAGGAGCACCAACCTGGAGTCCGAGGTCATAATACATTGTAACAGTGGCGTAACTAAAACCTTCAGAGCCCTGGTGCAAGAAACCATGAAGGGCCCCCCAACCCCCCATCGCCATGGCACCGTGTGGTTAACAGGAAGGCTGCCGAGGTGCCTAGCAAGCGCGGGACCTCAGTCAGCCGCTTCAGTCTTAAAATTTAGTGCCGGTGTTCTGTCGAGAACGCCGACCCAGTATCTGCACTTGCGCACAGACGGGATTAACAAGGAAACCGGCATTTACTTACAAAGTATTAGTGTGTAATCGTTAATTGTGACCGTTAATAATATGCCATCCATGGCAGTATATGATGGATGGCATATTATTAACGGTCACAATTCACAATTCAAACTAAATACTTTGTCAATAAATCCCGGTTTCCTCAATAATAGTGCTGAAGTCGGGAAATTCTACTAGGTTCTCGACAGAACACCAGTATCTGCACTTAGTATCGGGGCATTTTCACGAGTACTTGTGAAAATGCCAGTATTGGCAATGGTGTGTCCCTACTTAATAATATAATTTATTGCTGGGACTTGTAGTCCTGCATAGTTGGTGCTATTCTGCATTGCTGTATGATGATTATACAGCAATGCAGAATAGCACCAACTATGCAGGACTACAAGTCCCAGCAATAGATTATAATGAAAATACCACCAGCCTCTCAGCAGCCTCTTAGGTACCTAATCTAAACAAAGGAAATATACAGAAAAGCAACAAATCTCCCAGCTATGTTTCCCAGCTCACGCCACAGGGTGCTGGGGCAAGGACTCCCAAGGGTTCCATGTAATGTCAATGAGATCTAATACCATAATGTTTATAGTAAAACCCAATTCATGTACTTGTAACCTATGCTTCTGTATGTCTCTTGTGCACATGCTTGTATTACATATGTGATCAGTTAATAAAAGAATTTAAAAAAAAAAAAATAAACTTGTAAGAAATAAAATTAAATTTAATGAGGCATTTTATTTATTTACCTGTCCTTGTCATAGTGCATACATTTACAATGAAACAAACAAAAACAAAAAATGCAAAGAGCTTCAATGAAAAAAAATAAAAATACTTAGAACTTATTTATTTATGTTTATGTGTGTGAGTAAATGTCTTCATAATAAAAATATAAATCCATATATAATAATTAACATCAGTCATAATAGTGATTTCGTTTGTAATTTTAGGATAGTAATTTGAACATGCAAAGACGGATGAGTTCTGCCAGTGAAAAGACTTCTTCATCGTGGTCACTGGTTGAAAGTCAGACATCCTTAACTCCAATACCTAACTCTAATGGAACCCAAGCACAGACATGTTGGACAAAGAAGAGGTATGGAAGTAATGTGTGCTAATGCTCTCCTTTAAAAAGAAATACTTTCACATGAACCATATGTACAAAGGTATGTAAGACAATGTACCACCTACTGGACATTCCCAAAACATATGGGATAAAAGCACAGATATACAAGCTTTTGGAGTTGGGGGAGAGACTCATTATTTTTACAAGACCATTACATTGAAAATAAAAGTCTTATAATAATATTAAAAACTACTAATTTTATTATACGGGAAAGAGCAGATCCAGGAAACAATTTAGATTATTCTGTGAACTACCAGTGCTGACGTCAGACAGTCTACTATGTACATAAATGTGTTGTGTATTCTTTTTATTTTATTCAATGTGCTCCTGTGCTGGCCCCTTCTCTTTGTATGAGATACTACAAAGAATTTACAGTTGGTGGTGGTCGAAAATACCTGTCCTGGATATTCACATAGCCCAGCAACACCAAGGCAGTTTTAAGTAGTAGGATGACCTGGTACACTACAGCTATGCTTAGGTACAAAACATCTAGGCTGTGTCATCTGTGCCAGAGGTTAGGTGAGGGCTAGAGGGTGGCCAAGTCAGTAAGAACATAAGTAAGCCAGAAGATAACATAATAATAGTATAACAAGTAGGGGTTAAAGCCATCCAGGCATAGATAGTGCCAAAGAGGAGACAAAAGTGTATTCTAAGATAGTGCCAGGAGTAACAAGGACTGTATGCCATGCCAAAGCTTGGAACAGCCTTGAAGCTACGATTCCACCAAGGACAAGTGAGATCAGGACAAGCAGGGTCAGCAACACAATCTGAGAACCCCCACCTAGCAGGATGATCTATTCGCAGATATGGCTCTGAAACCAACATAGCCTTTAGCATGCAGCTACTTTCTTCTACATAGATATAAGCTGCATTCACACATTTATCTTTTTCTTTTTTTTTTCATAAAAACTATTTTGTTTCTTCTGTGCACTAACAGTATGTACTGTATTATGAACATGCTAGAAAAAGAAAAAACGGTATTTTTTGCATAACTTGCCCATAGCAACAAATTAGATTCCAGATTTCTGTTGACAAGTATGCAGATAAGAATATGAAAGTTAAAATATTATGAAATGTTCAGAATTTGATGTTTAAACTTCCAACCATTCCTATTGGTGCAGCACTAAGATGGGCAGCCTCACTGGTCAGTCACCTGCAGGAGCCAGGAAGGGGTGGGTAAGCTTCGGCACTATCAAGAGGTGGTAAAACTTTCCCTGCAGCAGCCGCCCCCTACCCCAGACAGAGTCTCTTTACTGTTACAATAATGTATCTAATCCTAGAATATTTTGAGTAATAAATATGCTTAAAGTACATTTGTTACATTCTAGATATCCGGAAGCTTTTGTATCAATACAGTTAGAAAAAGCGGGTCTTCGGGATGCCATGCTGAACACTTTTCTTCAGAAGAAGCAAGTTATGGGGACTATTATGAGAAACCCTGTAAGAGTTTGCAAGTATCTGTTATGTATAACAGCATAATTTCATCCAAAATAGTACTGACACCTTTTACAAAGCATAGTGCAGACACCATACACACAGTAATAGAAGAAAAGTCACATTTTATGTTACCATGTTTCTAGCACATGATTTCATCCATAGCTGCTGCTATAGCTAGCCAGTACATTCACCTACTTAAAGAATACATGTGCTTCGACTATGGACATTCAACTATGTACATATTCAGTTGGTTTCTAACAACTTAGAAAAACCTGCTGGTTGTATACATTAAGGGTCTGGAAGGCTGCCAAGATCTGTTCTCATACACAAAATTGTATATTATATGGCTGTGTTGTGAACCTTTAACTTTTTTAGTATATCTAAACCCAAAAATAAAACAAATTATATATTGCTGCTTACCAGTCCTTAGATATGGTGGCTACATTCTTTTATAAGACTTTTCCCTTTATTTTCACCTGGGTGATCCAGCCGATAGCACAGTTCCTGTCTTAGGGTGGCTATGTTCATGCCACCACTGTATCTATGGAGGAGCAATGTAGCCAGCCTTGGATGGCAACATTGTCAACCTGTGTAGAGGGTAGTGTTAGATGGGCTAGGGGATTTAGACAAGACTTTTATATAAGTCACTAGCAAATTAAAACTTAAATCTAGTTAACACTTGTAAAGCAGTTACAGAATCATTTTTTATTTTTGAGTTTTTAACTCTATGAATAAAAGCTGACCATTGTAAGCACCCCTGTCCAGGTTTGTCTCAACCTTCAAACTGACACTCTAGCTGGACAGCTTGGTCTGGTAAAATAAGTTGAAAAATACCAGACTTACTGGCAGGATGAACAATGAGGGCTTGTTCACACCAATTGTGCACAGCAATCCCTCACTAAACTTCCCACTTCATTCTGGGGTGGGACGCTAGCGTGGCGGTGCATTGAAGTCAATAGCACCGCAGCCACGCCCCCCC